AACGCTGATGCTTTAATGAAAGATTTTTGCTCCTGAAATTGTTGCTGTTGATGGTGATAATGATGGTTTCTTGTTGCTGTTGATGTTGTTGATGTTGTTGTTGTTGTTGATGTTGTTGTGGACGTTAAAATGTTGGAAAAACTATTTACTGTTGTCGTCGAAAGAAGTGCTGTCAACAATTCTGTTGTTGTTGTTGATGATGATGTTGCTGATGACGTTGTTGTTGATGATGGTGTTGATGTTGTTGCTGATGTTGTCGTTAATGTTGTTGTTGATGTTGTTTTTGTTGTTGATGTTGTTGTCGTCATTTCTTCAGTCTCTTTCATTTTAGAACGTATATTACGAATAGAAATATTGCTATAAATATTGATATCGCTGATGGTTAGATTGTTGTTTTTGTTGTTGTTGTTGTTGTTGTTGTTGTTGTTTTGGTAAACACTATCACTGTTTAAAATCATCTCAACTCAAATGGTTTGCTTGAAACATCTGTAAATATTTATTGGAATATATCTTCTATGTTAATTAAATTCGAAGTGACAACAACATCAACAACAACTTCAAAAACACTAACAACACCACTAACAACAACATCAACAACAACAGCATCAACAATAACAACTACAAAACTAAAAGACAAAACAATAAAGAACAGTTTTCAACCGATAATTACGAAATTACAAGAAAAATAGCGAGTTCAAGTGCAGACAACTTTAATGTCATCGCCGAAAAGTTAACAACGATCAAACAACAATAACAACAACACAACCACCAACAACAACAACAATAATAATGATGACGTAATAATCATCATAATTATAAATTACAAAACATCACTGCCAAATTTGATGTGCGCATCATAATTTTTAACATAAGATCGACCTTTTTAGATGCATGTAACACGCTCACAGAATGAACTTAGTTCGATATTCACGACATACCCGTTGAAAGCAACAACCAATAAGGTTCCAGAAAGTCCCTTTTAATTAGAATTAACTTGAGAAGCTAATGAGTTTGGGGTTCCTTATAAGTTAAGCAATGATTGCCGCGAATAATTAACTAGGAACAAACAAGTGCAATCCGAATCAATGAAAATGTTCTTTCATTTCTTCATTTGCTCTTTCCATCGTTCGTTCATCCGTTCGTTCATTCGTTCATTCGTTCGTTCATCAATTTTGACCTCACTCACACGTTAGTTTAGTTACTAAGTGACATTGATAAGGATTTGTTGATTGGTTTATTGACTTATACAATCGTTTGTTTGTTTGTCCGTTTGTTAATTCATTCATTCATTTATTCGTTCGTTCGTTCGTTCGTTCGTTCATTCATTCTTTCATTTGTTCGTTCTTTCGTTCATTCATTCATTCATTTGACAAAACGACAAAAATGAAAGCAACTTCTACTACTTCGTCAAGAAATAGGGAGAGAGCCGGTACAAAAATATGCTATCTGCACGAATCGTTATGAAAATGTTTTGATACATCATTGCATTGTTAGTGGTAAAATTTTATCGATTTAAAATTTATTCGATATAAAATTTATCATTTAAATGGTTCAAATTAAAAAAATTGTAAGCCAAGAAATTACAATGTTGCCACAAAAAACCCTCCCAAATTGCGATCATAAAAAACAATTAGGATAATATAAAAAGTGAACTTAAATTATAATTTATCATTTCACCATCTTCCACATCGTCACCAACCTGCTTGCTATCTTTAAGTCCAGTCAAAGAAGACAATGCCACATCACCAACAACATCAACTTGTTCATCATTTCATCATCCTAACCAACCTCTGTGTGTGTTGTGTGATCGTCATCTTTTCAGAAACCTCTTGTATAAATAGTGCAACTTAAAATATACATACAATAATATACATACATTCATACAAACATATCTAGATGCATATATACATATATGTATACAAACATACATACATATATACGTACATATATACAAACATAAATACTAATATACATACATACATATTTACATATATATTACTATGAACTGTCTTTACAAATTAGTATATTAGTTTCAACTTCATTTGCTCAGTTCAAGGAAAAATAGTAATAAAAATAATTATATTGATAATAATAGTAGTAATAATAATAACAATAATAATAATAACAATGAACACTTCACGACAAAATGGGACAAATTTTTGCCGGCCAATAAGAGCATGATGTTGTGCGAATGTGTGTGAGCCCACACTTTTCATCAACCAATCAGCGCTGGGAGTAATTATTTTGACTCCGCCCACTTAATAAACTTTCTCAGTTGCTTAATGATCATCTATATACATGCATACATATGCACAAATACGTATATACATTGATATGTATGTGTATATGCATATATATATATATATATATGTGTGTGTGTGTGTGTGTGTGTGTGTGTGTGTGTGTGTGTGTGTGTGTGTGTGTGTGTGTGTGTGTGTGTGTGTGTGTGTGTGTGTTTGATGAAGAGTAATTGATGAAATCTACCGAATTTCTAGCGATGGATAGCTTTTCTTTATTACATTTTTCAATATTTCTAGAAATTTGGTAGATTTAATAAATTAATGTATTAATTATAGTCTTTTACCAGCATATATGTTTGTATGTATGTATATATGTAATATGCATGCATGCATGTATGTATGCATGTAAGTAAGTTTGTATGAAGACACATACATGATGAGTGCTAAGAAAAATCAAACAGTCATAAATTTGCTATAAGATTGTTATCTGTTAATGCTGATCAACAAATTCTTCATTATCTGTCAACTTCGTCATCATCTTTTTCATCATCATCATTATTCTTTTCTTTATCTTCTTCATCATCTCTGTCATCATTGTCTTCATCGTCATTATCATCTTCTTCTTCATCTTCTTCTTCATCTTCTTCTTCATCTTCTTCTTCATCTTCTTCTTCATCATCATCGTCACCATCGTCTCCATCATCATCATGGTGTTTTTCTTCTTCCTCTTCTCCTTCTTTTTCATCATCTCTGTCATCATCAGCATCATCAGCATCATCGTCTTCTTCTTCATCTTCTTCTTCATCATCATCGTCACCATCGTCTTCATCATCATCATCATGGTGTTTATGCAATGACATTCAGAAAAGTGAACCGACGATTTTATAATAGGGAACGAACGCGCCAACCTGAGCAAGTTAATTCCGAAATAAATTTACATCCATAATAATTTGCGTATGTATGTGTGTGCATGTGTGTGTGCATCTGTGTGTATATGTGTGTGTGTGTGTGTGTGGTTGTGTGTATGTGTTTGTCTGTGTTTGTCTGTGTGTGTATGTGTTTGTCTGTGTGTGTATTTGTGTTCCAAGAGAAGTTTATGAAATAAAAATTTCATTAATGTGTATATATGATGTTGATAATAAAGAGAACGAGAGAGAGAAATAGAGAGAGAGAGAGAGAGAGAGTAAGGTGAGAGAGAGAGAGAAAGAAAGGTGAAAGAAGAAATGAAAGGGAGTGTGAGACGTTTGTTGATAAGAAAAGA